TCACACCAGTGCTTTGGCAACTGCTGAGCAGGGCTGGCACAGCATCCACATTGTCAGCTTCCTCCCGTGAATGGGGGCAAGATCATGGGAAGGGATACAGACAGGCAAGTTGAGCCAGATTGACCAAAGGGATATTGCAGAATATATGGCGTCAGCTCAGCTACAAAAGCTCAGGAAAAGAACAGGAAAGGGGGGAAATCCATTTTTTTTACAACACTTGCCTTCTGAGCGGCCTCTCTTTGTGGTGAAGCCCTGCTTCCCGTGAAGTGGCCAGGCATCGCTGCTGATGGGAAGTAGAGAATAAATCTTTTTATTTTCCCCCTTACTTATGCATGCAGAAACCTCATGGAATTAAACAAACCCTGGGATATCTTTGGAACTTCATGGAAACAAAGGGGTAAAGCAAAAGAATTAAACCCAATGACCAGAAACCATTGGATCGAACATTTCTTTAATATGCCAGCTGGGGATTCGTGGGGGTACTCTGCCATGCATGCATCAAAGAATCAGTATAAATTTCGGAATATAAATACAGTGATATTGAAAGACCCCCCCTTCACAAGCAGTCCATAATTCTGTTGGAATTTTGGGGTCAGGTACCACCTTGGATTTTATTCGTGGAGCGAGACTGCCATCTAGCGTCCATTTCTTCTGGCAGGGGCAGTCATTTTCGCAGAGTAGTCTTCTCGCTTAGCAGGCCAGAGGGATGGACACGGGGAGCTCTGTCCACAGAAGCGCATCCCAGAGCTGCATCCAGGACCTTTGCCAGGGTTTAGTACCATAAATGCAAAGTGACACCGAGACACTCTTTGTCCCACGTAACTTCAAGGCCCCCCCAGGAGGCTGATGGCAATTGTATTGTTCGGGGTCATCTCCTCACACCAACATCAGGGGTGTGCTCAAGACTTGTCTGTTCAATGCAAACAGAGACACCCTGTCTAGTCCTTCCGTGTCTCTCCAGGGAAGGCTAAAGAGCCTCTGTGGGCTGGGTGAGAAGCCAGTGCTGGAAGTAGTGATTCTATTGTGAGTGCCAAGCAAGAGTGGTTGGCAGGTCTGGGATGCATGCCCTGGGGAGTTGACCTGGGTTTCCCAGTGCAATAGATCACACGGTTCCCTGGTGGTCTTTCATGTCCTCCTACGGAGGTGACGGAAATGTGAAAGAGAATGACCGTTTTGTCTGTGCCTCTGAGTGTCCCTCAACTTGCTGCAGATGTGCTGGTTGCAGCACATCCAGTTCAGGTGTGACAGGCTGTTCCCTGGTCCTCTGAGCAAGCGGAGCAGGAGGAGGGACACAGCAGAACCCACGTACGGAGACTGCATCTCCATGAAGTGCAAAGCAGGCGGGAGATGCCATTCCACGTACGAGCTTTCTCTGGGGAAAGTGCTTCTCCCATGCACTGCCTAGCCGTAGCACTGGTGCCACAGCCCCCCACAAAACCCAGGTGGTCTTCGTGCCCAACAGAATGCTCCTGCTGCCAACAGGGATGCTCCCCGGGACAGGCCAGGAGAGGCTGAGCCCGCGCTGCTGAGCCCGGAGGGATGTTTTGCCTCTCGTGCCCCTCCACCATTCTCACAAGCGGGTGCCCCGGAGGAAAATTCAGGAGTCTCCATGTGCCAAAAGAAGTGGGATGTGAGGGAAGATTTGACGGTGGTGAAAGGAGCTCATGGCCTGTCCATCTTGAGCTCTCCGATAGCCACCCGCACCCCTGCCACCCAGCCCGGCCCCGCCGCCTCCGCGGTGCAGAGCCCCGACAGCCGCCGCGCTGCCGCCCGCTCTCGCCTGGCCTCCGCATCCAGCCCGCACCCGACGAGAGCCTGAGAGGCACCGGCGCCGGGCTCAGCCCCGGGGCGGAATTGTCGGAGAAGGGCAGGGGAGGGAGAGGAAGGCAGAGGAAGGAGAGGAGGCGGAGAGGAGGCGGCCCGCCCGGAGCAGAGAGCCGTGGCTGGCGGGGGCAGCGAGACGCCGGGCGGCGGATCGGCGGATGCGGCTCTGGCGGGGAGCGGGGCTGGTGGCGCTGGCCGCGGTTCTGCTCGGAGCGCAGGTCTGGCGGCCGGGGACCGTGGGGCCGCGGCTGGGGCTGGGGTGACCGTGCATGTCCCTTGAGGCTGCCGTCGTGCCTGACAGGTTCTTCACAGAGCTCTGCCCCAGAACTATCTTCCCGTCCGTCCCTCCCTCTGCTCCGTAAAACATTCCCTCAGAACACTCGTCGTTCTTTTCTTTGTCGAGCCCTTCCTGTTTCCTTGCTTTACTCTCTACCTTTCAGAGAACTCCTGCAGTCAATCCTTCCTACTTTTCTTTCTCTCTTTGCTTTGCTTTGTACGGCAGCTTTCCTTTCTTCAGTGACTCCTGCTGCAGAGCCCAGGTGCAGCAGGACCCATTGCTAGAGACCACCGAGGGCAGTGAAATCACCATCAAGTGCTCAAACGCAAACATACGAATCGGGGATTTTATCCATTTCTACCGGCAACTGCCGGGCCACAGCCCCGAGCTCCTCGCACGCGCTGCTAAAGGGTCCAGAGAGCTGCGGGCGCCAGCCTGGCTGCTCTTTGTGTCGGAAGATCCTCTTTGGAAAATCCTCTGGCTCTCCGGGCCCCGTCATGGGGAGGCGGCGCTGTATTCCTGCGCCCTGGCGGACACGGACCCGTTGACACCGTCTTCCTCGGAGCTTTCAGGGGATTTTCTCAGAAACACACATCTCGGTTAATTGTTTCTACAGCGGAGAAAAGTAAAGCCCCTGTGAAAACAGAACTTGTGAGAGAATGCCTCAGTACCAAGTGAGGTACTCAGCACAGGGCAGCGCAAATCCCGGCATACTGCAGTCAGCTGCAATGTGTGTCCCTTTCTTCTCCTGAGCCGTCGTCTCCTGGATACTCTGACCCAGTCCAGGCAGGCACCGCGATTCTCTGGTTCGTGAAGATCTTTCTCTTTTGATAGGAGGAGGGTTTTGGCTTTGCCTTGAGTGTGGGAAAGACACAGTAAGAGTCCACAAGACTTGGAGTGTCACTCGTCAAGGATCTGAACACTACATCTCGGAAGTGTGCTGAGGAAGCTGTGAAGGCAGACAGTGCGATGGAGCGAGGGGCAGCCAAGGACAGACCAAGTGTTAGATGTGGTGAAAGAGGACACCAAAGCAGTAAGAAAGGAGAGACTTCGGGGCATCTGGCCCTGGGCTCAAGAAGGATGGTTGCAGGACCATCCTTCATTATACTCTCAGTACCAAAGCAGACTCCCCACCATCCCGTCAAATGTTTTATCTCTGCTCTGATACGTAAGAGGGCAGACCCATG